GGGTAGTTTTTTTTTTTTTTTATTCGTTTAGTTTTTGCACCTGATAAATCAGTGATAATGTATAAATAAATGCAATACCACTAATTATAAAAACATAAAAAGTAGCATTGAAGAAAGAAATAAAAAAGGAGTCGACCAGATGCATGAAAGTCGAGACACATTAAACAGAAATATGTATATGTATAAGAGAATATGTGTGTGTGTGTATATATATATGTATATATATGTGTGTGTATATGTATGTATATATATATATATATATGTGTGTGTATATATATAAAGCTCTACATCAAACTGATTTTTTTTTTTACATATCATTCAGTGCAACATGTCCACAGGACTCTTTTGCATCGTTCAGCCATAACTCAATCAAGGCTCGTCTATAATCACCTGCTTGTTTTTCTGCCTGTCTTTCTGTCATTGAAAAGAAGAGTAAAAATCAACTGGCCTAGGTTTTTAGGTCGAAGACGTTTCACCTCTCATCCAAGAGGCTTCATCAGTTCTGCCCGACTGGCGTTGAGCTGGAGATATTTATCCCCCTCGGTGGTGTTTCAGCCCTTTGATGCCCAACAATGTCCTCCAACAACTGAGTCGTTGTAGCCCAGTATCAGTGAGCGTTGTTACCTGTCTTTGAACCCTCATCTGTAGACCGACACCTATAGTCCGGATGAGCATGTTTGGGATAGAGATTTCAAAACAGAGTTGTAGATGGATGACAAGTTGTCTCTTAGCCCACCACCCCTATTTAGTGAAAGGTGTTCTATTTGGACAAAAATAGCTTCCTTGACTCCTCTCTCAAACCAGTGATGTTCTCTGGAGAGAATCTGGACTTTACTGTCCTCAAAAGACTGTCCTTTGTCCTTCAGGTGAAGGTGGACTGCTGATTCTGGTCCACTGGGGTTGGCCTTCCTGTGTTGGGCCAGTTCTTGATGGCAGAACTGATGAAGCCTCTTGGATGAGAGGTGAAATGTCTTCGACCTAAAAAACCTAGTCCAGTTGTTTTTACTAAATTTTTTCACCTTACTATGTCCTGGATGACTGAGAATCTGCACAGACATGTCTTGCCCAAGGACACTTTGACATATGGACTGCAGGCACCGAGATTCAAACTCCCAACTTTCTGGTTGGGAGACAGCTGCTCTACCCACCGCACCACTGTTGCCCCCATGTCTCTGTGGCGTGTGAAAATTTTTCCATTACACCAGCAGTGCGCCATCCTTCCATATTCTCAAAACTGGTTTGACACCTGAGAAAGCACAACAATAACTTTTTTTCAAATCAATTTGCATGGAGGATGTTACTAAAACCGATACCAATAAATTAGTTACTTGTAAGCAACAGCTTATAATACAATTGATTAGTTCCTGAACTAATACTAATAAATAATAACAACAGTGTAACCTCTGGCACCCTGGCTCAGATTTAACAGGTCGTGGTTGTTTGCTATAGGTTGATGCATGAGACGGACCAAGTATCTACTATATGTATGTGGAGTTTGCACAAACACATTGCAGAAACACACATACCTCATCCCCCGGCATAAAGAAGAAACAGGGATTTCCCTGTAATTACCTTTAAAGTAAAGGGGCTTAGACTGACCAGCTGAACCAAACATGGACTTTCCAATCTTTCTGCTGCTGTAACCTGACCCCGGAGATAAAGATCAACAGGATTATTAAGAGAAGCACATGTTGCATCCCCCTCTGACCGGTTTTCACTTGTTTCCACTATGTGTTCCTCCTATTTTCATCATTATGTACTGGGCCAGATGAAATCAGTCATGCCTTTTTGTTAATGCAGTCAGATAATTAGTTAGCAGAAACAATAATACACAGGATCCAAAATTTATTTTTACACTTCCTCTCACCTCCCTGCTACCCCTTTGTTCAAATTTCCCACCTTTGGCATTAATTCCATGTACTGTATCTCTGGATTGTTGTTTTAGTTGTGCCTCCTCCTGTCCCGTTCCCAGACCTCAATATTTTAAGTTTAAAATCATCCCAACCACAGACGTTTGGCCTGTGGCTTTTTCTCACAGAATAATCAAATATACAGTACAGTACAGTAAGGGAGCTGGCATGGGGCTCTGAGAACATGGACTCCCTGAACCACGGTCATGACAGTAAAACATTTTTTTTCTAAACAGACCAGAAATTCTGTTCTTGAATAAGACTTTTCAGTAGCACTTTATAATAACTACACCTTATTCATCCTTAGTTAACCATGAATAAGTACTTAATTAATGATTAGAAAAGCATTAATTAAGCATGATTCATACTTAGTAACACATTCACTAACGATTTACTCCTGGTGACTAAGGTCATGCATAAGGTCATTATTCGCTGTTTATTCATACTTAATAAAACATGAATAGATGATTTATTAATACTGCAATGCATGAATATATCAGGGAGTTGTTAATTGTTAGTTACTGTTTTTTGTGATCCCTTCTAAAGTGAAGACTGTTTATAGTTTATTAAGCATTAATTTATATGTAAGAAAACCCAAAAGCACCTCACGCTCTTTTGAGCTGTGGAAATGCAGATCTGAAACAGTCAAAATCAAGACATGACACAAGGATACAGAACATATTTTTTGTATTCAATTTCAGTTGTACTGAAAACTTAACAATACAATTACAATATAAAAAATACATAAAATCAAACATGGCTCATTACAGTCAAGAACAGTTATTAAAGTGCCAAATAATGAAAAAAATAAATGAGATCCTTGTCATACTTCAACAAATACAATATCTGATATCTTTCAAAATAACACAAAAGATAGTTATACACAAAGAAACATGTCTGTAAACAGTACAAATATGAAATCACAACTCTTTCAAACCCTGAACACAACGCCGTCTCTGCTAACAATATCATGCTACATCACTTCATTTTGAAGGGAAGCAGATTTGATGTTTTTAAAACATACAAAAATGATATATTGCAACTATGTATTAGGCTACTTGTACTTTCTGGCAATGTCATGAATTAGCCTACCAAATGCACCATCCTGATGTTTCTTTGCAAGCCATTCATTCCATTCAATGACTGCAAGGTGGTCAGAAAGCAAACAGTCAGTCCCCTAAGCCTCCAAACCTGTTCCTTGTATGATCTCCATGCCCTCTCAATATGCTGTGTATGGGCGCCTGTGTGGGGTTCCAAATACCAGCTGCTGTGGTTGACAGTGTGATGGTTGTACCCTAAATCAGGGAGTATGCGATAAGCACGCCACTCATCACTGATAATTGATGATCCTAACCTCACATGACGAGCAATCAAAGGCACTAGATGCCTCCTAGATCTTTTTTCAACAAGACGTAGAATTGGCTTGGCTTTTGTCTTCCCTGGTCATGTTGGACACCTAACATCCCAAAGACCCACTGCTTTCTTTTCCATCCACCAGTCATTCTTCCTCTTCCATACTGAAACAAAAATCAGAGATGTTATGAAATAGTTTTACCACACAAATGTTACAGGAATCAGCATATTTTGCCATAACACACCTTTCTTTTGTGTCGAAAATGGCTTTCATCAATAACAACAAATTCCCTTCTTCCTCCAATCAGTTGGCCTGTGCGTCTTCTCATCCTTTCAACTGCTGTCACACAGACATCCCTTAATTTTTTTGCCATTTTGCTGAGTGTTGCTGAACTGACTGCAATATCATCAGCCATCATATCAATCTGCCTTAATCTTAGACCCTGACAAAATCTGAAAAGACAAAATAAAATGTACTTTTGTATCAAGGAAAAAGTATTCAGAATTGCAATGTAATATAATATTTGTGGTTACATGGTTTTTTTTTTAAACAACCTGTACATAAAATGTATCCACTTTCTCAAAGATACTTTGGATCGCCTGAATATGGAGTTGTGCCTGACAGATGTTTGTTTTGGCCTCCCCAAATGGACTGGATGTCAGCAGATCCTGTTTAAAGAGAAAGAGTACAAAAATAACAATTATAATATAGTTGTATGTGTGTATAATTGTACAGTATTTTATAATATAATTATAAGACACACACATCAAATATAAATGAAATCTAACAAATCAAATATACAGTATAAATACCAGGCAAATTGATCTCCACTGTTTGATCTTCTCTTCAGCGTCATGTCATGATGGCAGGTTTTGCATTTTATCTTTCTTTTCAGTAGTTTCTTCTTTTGGAGCCA